ATGAAAGGTTTGGAGGACATCATGAAGCAGCGGCAAAGTCTGAAGCCGGAGATGAAAGGTTTGGAGGACGTCATGAAGCAGCAGCAGAGTCTGAAGCCGGAGATGAAAGGTTTGGAGGACGTCATGAAGCAGCGGCAGAGTCTGAAGCCGGAGGTGAAAGGCTTGGAGGACGTCATGAAGCAGCGGCAGAGTCTGAAGCTGGAGATGAAAGGTTTGGAGGACGTCATGAAGCAGCGGCAGAGTCTGAAGCCGGAGGTGAAAGGCTTGGAGGACGTCATGAAGCAGCGGCAGAGTCTGAAAGCCGGAGGTGAAAGGTTTGGAGGACATCATGAAGCAGCGGCAGAGTCTGAAGCCGGAAATGAAAGGTTTGGAGGACGTCATGAAGCAGCGACAGAGTCTGAAGCCGGAAAATGAAAGGTTTGGAGGACGCCATTAAGAAGCAGCAGAATCTGGTAAAGACGCTGAAGGAGAAGAGCGGAGCTTTCAAAGAAATGTTCCGAAATGAGGAAAGGTTCCGGAAGATGAAGGGAGACGCCAGTAAGGATCCAGCATCGGCGGTGGCAGTACGGGTGGAGAGCGAGGAGGGGGGTCCTGGATGCTGCCCCTGCTATCCCATCCACCTCAGGATCTGCTTCCCTGGAGGAAATGTCAGCCTCTGTCTCCCTCCCTCCACAGCAAGCTGGAGGAACAGAACAGGAGGTAGAGGAACATGGCGGAGGGCTGTTAACGTTTATTCATGAAATGGAGTCTCCCCTATGTGGAAAAACCTGCTTTTCCGAGGATTCTGCGGATGAGGATGACAGTGAAGACTCTGTTCCCTGGTCCTGTAAAGGAATACAAAAACAGAAAAGCCGCGCTTTATTAAAAGTGCCAGTTTGGACTCCAGTGTGGACAGCCATGTGCACTGCAGAGTTTTGGAGGAAATCCTCCTGTGTGTGCACAGAGCTCTGCAGGGAAGATGGCTGCTGTGCCTGCAGGACTGCACTCTGCTGGGACTGTGGACTCTGATACCAGGAACCCTGTGACTGTGGACTCTGCTGGGGGGAAGGTAAAGGGGGGATCTGACACTTTTGTTGGACAATCCCTGCTGATGGCTGCAAATGCAGCAGAAAATACTGGGAGGGAAGATGTCAGCAGCACTATGAAAGGTGTTGCTGAAACCCAGGGGGGAGAGACCAGGAGTGGAAGGCTTTTGTCTAAGAGGAATATGTTGGGGGAGGGGGAGACAGGAGCATCTGGTGTGAGTGGGTCTGCTGGGAGCAGTAGTGCCACGAGTGAAAAAGGCAACATGTGAATGATAAGAGTGCTTGCAATGCTGGAAAGGGGAATGCCTGTGTGTTGGTGGATGGAGTGACTGCTGCTGCCTCTGATGGTGGTTTGCAGAGCGGGGGCTCTGAGGTTCCTGCAACCAATAGGCGGGGTGCAGCTTTAAGGTCCACTACAACTAATGCTGCAAATAAGACCTATGCTGGGGCTCTGGCTGGGAGGAGGGGGTCACATCAGGCTGTCAGCTCTGGGGGGAGGTCTGCTGAAGGCATGCCATCTGCACCCCTGTCCTTCAGGAGGAGGAATTTGGTGCAGCTCAGGTGGGAAGGTGGGGGTGCTCCCCCGGTCAGGATGTCGGTGGTGGACAGGATTTTGGAGATGGGGTTTAGGGCGGATGACATCTTCGCCTTGATCAGCCCTGTAGGATCCTATGAATATGATCTGTCCTTTGTGCGCCCCGAGTCCTGGATATATTCTGGGAGAAGTATGAACACATGTATAAGGGTCTGCCGGAATGGAGGGGACTCGTCCCAAAGGTTGTCTCACGCCAACCTCTAGTGAAGACGGTCACCATTCTAGTACGGAATGAGTCCATTCCTTCGGCTGACTTGGCTGTCTGGCTGAGGAGATTTGGGGAGCTACTGACCCCCCTGAAGAAGATTGTGGATGAGAGAGGGGATATGGACTGGTGGGTGGTCGGTGCAGATGAGGTTGTATGTGTGTGGGAATGTGGTCCAGCATCTGCCCTCCTCAGCCTTCATTGGGAAGGATAGGATTGTGGTGTTCTACCCTGGACAGCCCAAGCTCTGCAATAAGTGTGGTTCTCGGGGTCACTTGGCCTCCTCGTGTCCAGAGAGATGAAGTGTTCTCTGTGTCAGGATCTGGGGCATCTGGTTCTCGGGGTCAGTTGGCCTCCTCATGTACAGAGATGAAGTGCTCTCTGTGTCAGGATCTGGGGCATCTGGTTCTCGGGGTCACTTGGCCTCCTCATGTCCAGAGATGAAGTGCTCTCTGTGTCAGGATCTGGGGCATCTGGTTCTCGGGGTCACTTGGCCTCCTCATGTCCACAGATGAAGTGCTCTCTGTGTCAGGATCTGGGGCACCTGGTTCTCGGGGTCACTTGGCTCCTCAATGTCCACAGATGAAGTGCTCTCTGTGTCAGGATCTGGGGCATCTGGTTCTCGGGGTCACTTTGGCCTCCTCATGTCCAGAGATGAAGTGCTCTCTATGTCAGGATCTGGGGCATCTGGCTAAGGAATTGTAAAATCATCAAAAGTGCAATCTGTGTGATAAAGGTTGGCCATTCATACAACCGGTGCCCTGAGGCCATGCATAACCAGACCATCTTTGGTGGAAGAATTTTTTCATCTGGACATGGAGGAGGCAGAGAGAGAGGGAGGGCTGTGCCAGGGGTCCCCAATGTCTCTGACCCTGTGGTCGCATCGCCCAACCAACTGTCTGATGATGTGCCCCTGATGCTCATCCGCTCAATGTGTCATCTCCTTGTGTTGTGCCCCCTGAGTCAGTGTCCTGTGGATGTTGTGTCTGATCCTCCTGTGTCAGTTTCCCCAGAGGTAGTGGGGGCTGTGGAGGGGAGCTGGACCAATGTGTATGGTTGCACTGACCCCCGCACCCCGGTGTCTGAGGATCAGAGGGCATGAGGCTCTGGGGGGTAGAGTGAATGATGGTGGGGGTGTTGGGGTGAAGGTCGTGGGGACTGCTGTGGTGAGTGGAGAGAGTGGGGTAGATGATGTTGTGGGTGATGGTGGAAGGGATTGGGGAGGGGGGCTTTGCAGTCCGGGTTATCAATGATGATATGGAGTGGTTGGAGGCAAAAAGGAAGTCTGGGAAGAAGGATGTGCCTGTACCTGACCCTGGGAGGGTGGAGGTGTCAAACACTTTTGATGTGTTATCTGAGGTGGAGGATGAGGGATCTTCAGCTGATGAATCTGTGGTTTCCATGGAGGGATGGAATCACAGAGGACACTGAAGTGTGTAGGGTCTTCAAGTAGGGAGGGGGGTAAGCAGGCTAAGAAACGGGTACCTTCGATCATCCTGATGGCGGTTCCCACTCCTTTGAAGGTGGCGACCATTAATGTCGCCAGCATAAAATCAGTAAGCGCTCGTAACATGGCCTTATTTTTGCTCAGCAGCAGTTTGATGCTGACATTTTCTTTTTGCAGGAGACCAGGTTGTCCAGTTTGGGGGATGTCCATATGGCAAAGAAGGAGTGGAGGCGCGGCCCCCCTCCTTCTGGTCTCTTGCGGGCCGAGCCTTACACTGGAGTTGCGGTACTTTTTTCTGCTGGCATGTTAACCTGTCGGCGGATTATTGAGGTAGAAATGGGGAGACGCATGGTCTTAGACGTCTCCATGGGGGGCAGGACCTGCGCCTGATTACCATCTATGGGCCCCAGACAAAATGGGACAGGAAATGCCTCTTCATGAAGATCAAGCCTTTCCTTTTCACAGCCCAGCAAGTTGTCTTCGGTGGTGACTTTAACACCGTCACTAGGACTAAGGACAGGAGAGGGAACCGGAGTCAGGCTGGACTGTGACGGCTAGAGAGACAGGTCTGGTTGATGTGCACCATTCATTGCTGCCCAGACGACACGGGATTTCACTTTTTCAGCGAGGTTCTAGTCAGAGTAGAATAGATAGGTTTTTTTTAAAGGGGAACTCCCGCTTTCTCAGACACCAGTGTGTCAGGCGGTAGAGTTTTCCGATCACTGTATTTCTGTCTGTGACTCTCTGAGTGGCCCCGATACACCACCTAAGGGGAGGGGTACCTGGAAGCTGAATTCGGCACTCCTGGACGATGAGAAGGTGAGTCAATCCTTTGAGGATTTTTTTTCAGCACAGTATCAATCATGGGACGTTTGCAGCAGTAAGTCCGAGTGGTGGGAGCTTACAAAAACGAAGGATCGTTGGGTTTTTCAAGGCCATAGGAAGGAATAAACAGCTTGATAAGTATGTCACCTAACCAGCGTCTGCGGAGGAAGCACTCGATCGGTCTGTCTCGAATAATGGAGATCCAGAAGCGATCTCTGAGGTTAAACTCCTCCTCAGGCAGTGTCAATATGACAGGCATGCCTCTTTGGTTCTGGAGAGGGATTATGGGAAATATCACTCGCCCGACCCTTACCAGAACTGCAAACAAGGTAGAGCAGTGAAGTCAGTTGTAGGCCTGGTTGACAGTACGGGTTCCCTGACAAAGTCCAAGTCGGGGATCCTGGAAACCTCCAGGTCATATTATGCTGACCTCCTGGGTAGGAGGGACCTCGATCGGGCGAGCATGTTGGGTTTTCTGGACTCTACTCCCAGGACTGGGAAATGGCAGTTCTCTTGTGAGTCCTGGTAGGAGGAACCTCGATCGGTGCGAGCATGTCGGGTTTTCTGGACCTCTACTCCAGGACTGGGAAATGGCAGTTCTCCTGTGAGGTGACAGAGGACATCACGGCAGATGAGGTGGTGAAAGCTATTGATCAGCTTGCCATGAAGAAGTCGCCTGGGGCCAGACGGATTGACAGCCGAGTTTTATAAGCACTTTAAGGTGACTCTGGCCCCATATTTGGTGGAGGTGTTTAATGGCTGTCTGAGAGAGGGGTTCGCTCTCTCCCCTCCATGTCTGAGAGAGGGTTCGCTCTCTCCCTCCATGCGACAATCTGCAGTGATTCTTCTGTCAAAGGGTAAGGATTCCTCGAGAATTGAGAATTGGCGCCCATTAGCCTTCTCATGTTGATAGGAAGATATTGGCAAAAATTATTTTTCTGGCGTTTATCGTCTATTGCGGGCAATTTACTTTCTCGCCATCAGCACTGTTCAGTTCAGGGAAGAAGCACTTTTTCAGCGGTGTTAGCTGTCCGGGAGGCCCTGGAGCGGTGCAGGGCTGCAGGCTTGGGAAAGTTCCTGCTGGCATTGGATCAGGCCAAAGCTTTTGATCGAGTCAATCATGAGCACCTATGGCTGATTCTTGGCAAGTATGGCCTGGAGGGGGGCTTTATCGATTGGCTAAAGACTTTATACAGAGGGGCTGAAAGCTTCATGCTTGTGAATGGTTGGATTGGACGGCCCTTTGAGGTTGGCTCAGGTGTGCGTCAGGGGTGTCCTTTGAGTCCTCTGCTATATGCGTTTTGTAATCGATCCCTTCATTCGGAGGTTAGAGAGCGGACCGTGTGTGGAGTTCCTTTGGCATTCCTGGGGGGCCCGCTCTGAGGGTCGTGGCCTATGCTGTTGACGTGTCTGTTTTCATCTCTGGGATGCAGGAGGCGGAGGAGGTGGTCTCGGTGGAACAGTATGCTGAGGCAGGAGGTGGTCTCGTGATGGAACAGTACGCTGAGGCAGGAGGCGGAGGAGGTGGTCTCGGTGATGGAACAGTACGCTGAGGCAGGAGGCGGAGGAGGTGGTCTCGGTGATGGAACAGTATGCTGAGGCAGGAGGCGGAGGAGGTGGTCTCAGTGATGGAACGGTATGCTGAGGCAGGAGGCGGAGGAGGTGGTCTCGGTGATGGAACGGTATGCTGAGGGCAGGAGGCGGAGGAGGTGGTCTCGGTGATGGAACGGTATGCTGAGGCAGGAGGCGGTGGAGGTGGTCCCGGTGATGGAACGGTATGCTGAGGCAGGAGGCGGAGGAGGTGGCCTCGGTGATGGAACAGTAAATGCTGAGGCAGGAGGTGGAGGAGGTGGTCTCGGTGATGGAACGGTATGCTGAGGCAGGAGGCGAGGAGGTGGTCTCGGTGGAACAGTATGCTGAGGCAGGAGGTGGTCTCGGTGATGGAACGGTATGCTGAGGCAGGAGGCGGAGGAGGTGGTCTCGGTGATGGAACAGTATGCTGAGACAGGAGGCAGAGGAGGTGGTCTCGGTGATGGAACAGTATGCTGAGACAGGAGGCAGAGGAGGTGGTCTCGGTGATGGAACAGTATGGCGGAGGCATCTTGCTTAAAGATCAATCAGGATAAGAGTGAGGTTTTCTGGATGGGAGAGGAAGGCGAAGGCTTTACCCTTCCGGACGCCTTCCCAGAGCCCCAGCAGGAAATTAAAGTTTTAGGCATCAGATTTGGTCCCGGTGATTACGGCCATGCAAATTGGGTAAGCAGGCTACAAGATGCCGATGCCAAGGTGGCCAGCTGGAAGGATTGGAAACTCTCTTACAGGGAAGGATTGACCTGATTAAAACTTACCTGATCCCCCCCGGTATTTCTGTATGTCAGCTTTGTCTGTGTTTTTGCCAGTGTCTCTCTATGCGAGGATCTACAGTTGTTTCTTCCAGCTGTTATGGGGACACAAACTGAACCTCATTAAGAGGTCTGTAACCTACCTTCCCAGGCGGATGGGTGGCCTAGGTATGGTCAACTCGGTGGTTTTCTTTTCTACATAATTTTGGTAGCATGCTGGCAGAGGAACCGCCTGGGTGGCTTGGTATTTTTTCAGTCCTGGTTTAGGACTTTTCTGCAGAGCTGGGAGAATGGTGGGCCAGTGAAAAGCCTGAGGGTCCAACATGGTAAGCTCCCGGCTTATATTGCCCCATGTCTGAAAATGCTTCGGCAATGGTGGGTGACAGCGGAGGAAATTAAGTCTCTTCCTAGGAAGGCCCTGGAGAGGAGGGTTGTTGAATCTGCCTTTAGCGAGCCATTGGCCTTGAGGGATTGCCCAGGCCCCGGTTATGAGGGAGGATTGCCCAGGGCCGGTTATGAGGGAGGGATTGCCCAGGCCCGGTTATGAGGGAGGGATTGCCCAGGCCCCGGTTATGGGGGAGGTATTTGCCCAGGCCCGGTTATGAGGGAGGGATTGCCCAGGCCCGGTTATGAGGGAGGGATTGCCCAGGCCCGTTATGAGGGAGGGATTGCCCAGGCCCGGTTATGAGGGAGGGATTGCCAGGCCCGGTTATGAGGGAGGGATTGCCCAGGCCCCGGTTATGAGGGAGGTATTGCCCAGGCCCGGGTTATGAGGGAGGGATTGCCCAGGCCCGGTTATGAGGGAGGGATTGCCCAGGCCCGGTTATGAGGGAGGGTCTGCGTTTGATGAATCTGGAGAGAATCCCTTTAAAGTTTCGGGATTTGGCCTGGCTCTTGTTCCATGGCAGACTCTACTTGAAGGGCAACCTGAGCATCGCTCTGCGGAGAACCGTGGTTGTCCAAGAGTGGAGTGCGGTGGGGTGGAGGAGACAATGGACCATTTCTTGCTTCAGTGCCCCTTCAATATAGATGTCTACAAGCGGGTGGGTGGGGCTCTGGGGATCCCTTTCCTTTCCCGCTTGAGTTACGCGGAGTGGTCTTACACAGCCTTTCAGACTCCCCAGGACTTTGATTTTGAGACACTTTTTCTAGTTAGCTTAGTAGTCCCTATTATACTACACCTGGAATGCACGGTGTCAGGTTTCCTCCTGTGGTGGTGAACAACATTCTGGGTGAGGTTGGGAAGATTCGGGGTCTTGAAAAGGACAAGTTGCGGCCGGGAGCCTGGACAAAGGCGTGGAGGAATGTCAGGTCCCCGTAGCTGCTGTCTGTCAGTCTCTGGGGGCGTGGCTTCTCTTTCTGTCCTTTCACATCCCCTAGATTTTTGTAACAAACAGATTTTTGAAGAAAGGCGGCATGCATGGGATCGATGTTTCATCGTTTCTTAGCCTGAGGGGGGTTTAGGTGACGGTCAGGATTTGTTAGTTATTTTCCTGAAGTAATTAATTATGTTTAATTATATATATTTTATTCTGTATATATGTAAATATGATGATTTTTATGTTATTTGTTTGCAAGAATTTAGAACTCTAATGTCCCCTCCCCCACAGTCCCATCAGTCTCTGTACCAGAGGAGCTTACACGCTAATGTCCCCTCCCCCACAGTCCCATCAGTCTCTGTACCAGAGGAGCTTACACTCTAATGGTTCTCCTCCTCCCCCACAGTCACATCAGTCCCTGTACCAGAGGAGCTTACACTCTAATGTCCCCTCCCCCACAGTCACATCAGTCTCTGTACAGGGAGCTTACATTCTAATGTCCCCTCCCCCACAGTCCCATCAGTCAATTTACCAGAGGAGCTTACACGCTAATGTCCCCTCCCCCACACAGTTCCATCAGTCTCTGTACCAGAGGAGCTTACACGCTAATGTCCCCTCCCCCACAGTCCCATCAGTCAATTTACCAGAGGAGCTTACACGCTAATGTCCCCTCCCCCACACAGTTCCATCAGTCCCTGTACCAGAGGAGCTTACACTATAATGTCCCCCTCCCCACAGTCACATCAGTCTCTGTACCAGAGGAGCTTACACTCTAATGCTCCCTCTCCCCCCACAGTCCCATCCGTCTCTGTACCAGAGGAGCTTACGCTCTAATGCTCCCTCCCCCACAGTCACATCAGTCTCTGTACCAGAGGAGCTTACACGCTAATGTCCCCTCCCCCACACAGTTCCATCAGTCCCTGTACCAGAGGAGCTTACACTATAATGTCCCCTCCCCCACAGTCACATCAGTCTCTGTACCATAGGAGCTTGCACTCTAATGTCCCCTCCCCCACAGTCCCATCAGTCTCTGTACCAGAGGAGCTTGCACTCTAATGTACAGAGACACCTTCACATGCATTTCATGGCTTCCTGTGAGAGAAGAGACACTTAGAGGACATGTACTGATCCCGGGGATAGGATAGAAGGTTTTATATAGACAATTTCCTTGATGGAATGCCCCTCCCCCTCACGATCTCGCGTTAACCCTTTAGTCGCACTGGGAGGCTCCATAGACGGAGAGGTTCGGCATCTCGTATTATTCATGTCATCGATGATACTTGTTGGCCTTGTTTGTAGATCGTCCTTTGGCTACACACATCTATACAATGTCCCCGGCATGCTGTCAGCGAGCGCGGACGCATGGAGGGCGGTCATTGCCGTGATATTCAGCCGCCGTAAAGTAATCGTTTTAAGTGCATTAAATAACATCTCCATCCCAGGACTCCGGTCATAATAAAATATTCTGTCAATCAAATCCGGGAAGGGCCGGGGTGACACTGACATTACAAATGAGATGACTTGTTGCCAAGAGAGAGACACTCTGACATTCACAGCCCATCACACAGGTCACCTTCAGACCTGCCAGGAAACAGACAGGGGCCCCCAATGCAGGGCCCGGTGCTGTACAGGCGCCAAGAGGAACCACCAATAGGGGAATACAAATGGAGATCCAGCCAAAAGATCAAACTTGATATTTCCCTTTTTTTTTTCCACCAGAAAATAGTTCCTGTCTAAAAAAAATGATTTCCCCGATGTGGAGATCTGCTCAGTAGATACAATTTACTGGTTTGTGAAGACATTTTCAGCAAATGGAGCTGAAGAGGGAGCTTTCCTCAAGGTGAGATCATTTTGTTACATTTTTGTACATCATATTTTCTGACATTTTGTTTTTTCTTTTACTGTTTTTTGATACATTGTGCATATTATATTATACGGGGCAGCTATGGACTTCCTGTCAACCTGAACCAGTATGGGTGCAAGCAGGTCCCTAGAGGTCCAAAGTCGTCATTGCTCCACTAAGGGGCCTACAGAAGCTGAGGGTTCTCCAAAGCGTCTCCCCTGAACCAGTATGGGTGCCAGCAGGTCCCTAGCGGTCCGACGTCGTCATTGCTCCACTAAGGGGCCTACAGAAGCTGAGGGTTCTCCAAAGCGTCCTCCCCTGAACCAGTATGGGTGCCAGCAGGTCCCTAGCGGTCCGACGTCGTCATTGCTCCACTAAGGGGCCTACAGAAGCTGAGGGTTCTCCAAAGCTTCTCCCCTGAACCAGTATGGAGACCTGATGGGGACAATTGATGTAAGAGGGCACTCTGATGGGGATAGTTGATGTAAGGGGGCGCTCTGAGGGGGACAGTTGATGTAAGGGGGTGCTCTGATATGGACAGTTGATGTAAGGAGGCACTCTGAGGGGTTGCAATTGATGTAAGGGGCACTCCTATGGGGACATTTGATGCAAGGGGGCGCTCTGATGGGGACAGTTGATGTAAGGGGGTGCTCTGATGGGGACAGTTGATGTAAGGGGGTGCTCTGTTGGGGACAGTTGATGTAAGGGGGCGCTCTGATGGGGACAGTTGATGTAAGGGGGCGCTTTGATGGGGACAGTTGATGTAAGGGGGCGCTCTGATGGGGACAGTTGATGTAAGGGGGCGCTTTGATGGGGACAGTTGATGTAAGGGGGCGCTTTGATGGGGACAGTTGATGTAAGGGGGCGCTCTGATGGGGG